ATTTATATAATTATTGCCATTATCATTATCATTATTATTGGTATTGTCATAACTACTATTATTATTACTATGCTTATAATTGTTATCAATATTATCATTACTGTCATTATTATCATCATCATCAGTAATATTATTATTACTATTATTATAGTTATTATTGTTATCATCATTATTGTTATTAGGATCATTACTGTAATTGTAAATATAATTATGCTTATCATTATTGTTATCGTTATCATGATTACTATTATTATGATGATTATTATCCTAATCATCATCACTATTATTATTGTTGTTATTATTATTATCATCATTATCATTAGTAGAATTAGTAGTAGTTGAATCATTATCATTAATATTATTACGATTACTAGTATCATAATTGTTATTATCATTATCATTATCATCATTACCATTATCATTATTGTTATCATTATCATTGTCGTTAGTATTTTTCATCATTAATCCTGATGCTATAATTGTTGCTGTTATTGATATAATTTATCATCATAATTGTTAATATCAATATTATCCTTATCATTATCACCATTATCATTATTATCTTTATCATTACTATTATTGTCATTATCATTTTTATTATCATCATCATTATTATTACTTTAATCATTACGATTATTATTATGATTATGAGTATTACCATTATCATTATTATTATTATAATTACTATTATCATTATTATTATTATTATTATTATTATTATTATTATTATTATTATTATTATTATTATCATTATTATTATATATATTTATTATTATTATTATCATTATTATTATTATTATTATTATTATTATTATTTTCATATCAATGATATTATTATTATATATTTTATCATCATCTTTATTATCATTAATATGATAGTAAGAAATACTATCATTGTTATTATTGTTGTTATTATTATCATTATCATCACTTTTATTAACAAAAATTGCTATTATGATTATCACTATCATTATCATTATTTTACTAGTGATATTATCATTATTATGAAAATTATTATTGATAATATTATCATTATTATCAATATCATTAATCTTATTAATACTATCGTTATTAGTATTATTATCATTAATATCATCATCACTGTTATTATCATTAGTATAACTATTATTATCATTGTTTTTTCATTATCATTATTGCTATTATTACTTTTATCATATATAATTACTGTTAATTTTATTATATCAATCATCACTATTGTTGTTACTATTAAAATGAATTATTATTTTTATTATATGATTATTTTTATTATCATCATTATCATTATCATTATCACTATTATTAGAATTATCATCATTATTATTATTATCCTAATTATTATTATCATTATTAATATCATTATCATCATCATCATTATTATCATTATTATCATTGTTATTAACATCATCATTATTATTATCATTGTTATTGTTATTGTTCTTCTTCTTCTGTTTATTGTTATTATCGTTGTTATTTTTATTGTTATTATTTTTATAATTATCATTATTACTATCATCATTTTTATCATAAACATTATTATCATTACTATTATCATCATTATCATTATCATTATCATTTTTATTATAACTATTAACATTATTTTCATTATTGCTATTGTTATTATTATAATAATCTTTTACCATGAATATCATTGATATTGATATTCTAATTGCTGTTATTGCTATGATTATTGGTATCTTTATTATCATTATTGTTATTATTATATATTTTTTTATTGTTATTACTACGATCATCATTATTTGTGTTATTATAATTTTGTTATTATCATAACTATAATCATTATCATTATCATCATTATCATCATCATCATAATATTTTTTTTACTATTATCATCATTATAACTATAATCATCATAATAATTTTCTTCATTCCTATGATTATCATTATTATGATTATTATCATTATTACTGTTGCTGTTGTTATTAATATGATCATTATTACTGTTATTGTTATTACTGTCATCATCATCACCATCATCATTACCAGTATCATCTTCAATATTAGCATCAATTTTATTACGATTATCCTCATCACCACTACTGTTATCATAGCTTCTGCCATACATATATATCTATTTACTTATTCATGATCATGTCATACAACAAAATAAAAAAAAAAAAAAAAAAAAAAAAAAAAAAAAAATCTTTTAATCTTTATTGAATAATTGTTTGAGATAATGAGTGAGAACTTTCTTCATTTATCTTTTAACCACATTCCTTTATTCCATAGAAAAGAGGTAAAGAACTGAAATTATAATAATGATAGTAATAATGATAACAATAATAACAGTGATAATAATAATGATAATGATAATGATATATGTAAGAT